CTGGACGTCACACACACACACACACACACACTTGGTCCTCTTGTATGGCAAAAATCAAACAAATCATCCGAGGGTGAAGTTATGTGTCTATTCTCTTGGATACAAAAAGCTTCATAAAACAAACAACACTAATTAAAGGACAATTACAAAGCAATACATTATGAGTCAAATTTGTTAGCTGTTAGTGCCAAATGAATCAGCACGTAACAAAAGATGAAAGCAGCAGCGGGAGGAGGAGGGGACCCGAGGGGGGAGGGAAAAACACTTGGTGAAAAAGCTCAGGCAGGTTTTTTGTGTTTGAGCAGCAGTTGTTATTCACTCCTCAATGGTCCCCGGCGATTTGATGGAAAATGAGGAAGCCCAGCTGCCTGTCAGCCCAGCAGACTTTGATCAATGAGCCTCCAGGCAGCAATCACACACCTTTCTGTTGTCTGCTGTCTAGTATGAGGTCTGCACTCTCTGCTCTTCACATTTACAACTCAGATATACACTCGCCTACAGTGCAAAGACTCATTTATCAGTGATGTTCACGGGTCTGTGTACAGTCAAGTGTCTGCAGGAAAGAATCCACTACTTTGTCTTCTTACAGCTTACAGCACCTCTGCTGGCCACTGACGACCACTGCACACCAGGCCTGGGAAGATAATCAATGAATCCATTGATCGCATGATAAATGAAAATGAAGTGAATCTTCGATAAATTTGCATGTTTGTTTTCCCTGTCTCTCGCCTCCAAATGGGCTAGATGACAAACGGGTTCACTCTGGGGCGGGGCCACTAGAATACACGCGAAGGGTGCAGCAAAATGCACGAGCCAGTCTACCACATTAGTTGAAAAGCGGTAGGAGCAGTGGTAGTTAAGGAAGCAGACTTGGTTTCGGAGAGTTTCAGTTTGGAGTCCACCAGCTGTGGGCACTGAGCATGACACCGTCACAACACACTGCTCGCCCGGCGATTAAGCTGCCCCCTGCCGACCTTGGTGATGGTTTAAAAGCAGAGGTCACATTTGGCTGTCTGCAGTGGTATGCTGTGTCATAATGACAAGTAGTTCACTTTCACTTTCATAAGTTAGCAACAGAAAAAGGCAACACAACACACTTTGCACGCCACACAGCTGGGAACAAAAAAATATACCTCCAGATGCAGGGCCTTTGTCTAGACCAGGGCTGTCAAACTCATTTCCACCAGGGGGCCACATCAGCAATACAGTTCCTGTTGAAGGACCGGTTTTAAATGGAACACTGTATAGATCAGGGGTCCCCAACCCCTGGTTCGCGGACCAGTACCAGTCCATAGGTCCTTTGGTACCAGCCCGCAGTGGGACACAGAGAAAAAATGAAAAAAATCTAATTTACTTCATTCAAAAAAAAAATCCATTTACTTTCTTTATTTGACGATAATCTGGCAATATTTTAAAATAAAAGTCATTCAGATTCAGATTTGATCCAAACAGAATAGAGTCTGGTATAGATGTAGCTCCTCCATAACAGACTAATACATGTTTCTGAAATTCAAGCTACAAATATTGTTCATTGCTGTGTAATAAAAAAAACAACTTTTTTCAACTAAACAACTTAATTTCATAGGTTGATAAACTCTGCTGCATGGACTTTATTAAATGCTCTTTAAGCTCCCACGGGCCACACAAAATGGCTTGGTGGGCCGCATCTGGCCCCCGGGCCTTGAGTTTGACAAGCCACTCTAGACTCCACGTCTAGAGTCTAGACATATGGTCTAGAGTCTAGACCATACGTCTATAATATAATACTTTTTTTTTTTGCATTTGAAAGCATACTTGCATATGGTACACATTACAGTACATCAGCGGTTACGTGGGACAATATATCATGCAGCAAAATTTTCTATAGTCCCAGGCGTACTGCCCACCGCTACCAATAACTGCCAAATCCCTGCCAATCCCAGGTTTTGTAATATTACATTGTTGGATCCATTAAGACTTGACAGAACAGAGGACTGAGCCCACGCTCTTGTAGCAAACACAGAGCTAAGACCTGGTTTTCCCTCTCATACAGAACAGTCAGCACTGGGACGAAAATGGGTTTATGAATTATTTATTATTTTACAAGGACACCGAGAAAACAAACAAACAAACAAACAAACAAACAAACAAACAAACACAGGAGACTTGCTATCAAACAGCTCAAGTCAGTCTTACCTACTGTAAGCTACGTAGTTAGCCAGCCACGGTTTGGACACGGACTCAAGAGTGGATCTGTTGATCAAAACTCCCACTACCTGCAAGCACCTATTCAAGGTCACTGTAATATCACTGACCAATCAGAAGATAGGAAACCATCTGTTTCCACTGTCGCACACATCCACACACAAAACATAAAAACAGGTGAATGAATAAACTGGTAAAAAAGTATCAGAATGTATTTAGGATAAAGAGTTGACCTGGAGTCATGGGGAAAAAAAACTTTTCCTTCTACAGCGAGAAAATATCTCAGCCGTGTCGGATTATAATTTTACCAATTTTCAGATTAAACTAAGGCATCCACACTGACGCTGCAACTTTAATGTGTGCACTGGGGAAAAACATTTATGATTTGATCCAACAGGATGCAGTGGAAATGATTGAAGAATCGATTTTTTTGTTACTTCAACAGTCCGAGCTCTTTCTAAAGGCTATTTCGTTTTGTATCCAAACACACACGCACGCACACACATACATACTGCTCGCTTTGTCCTGAATTCCTTTGTGCCGTTTCAGCAGGTTTTCCTTATTATCAAGAGAAAGATCACCTGTGCTCTAATGGAAAAGAACTTGGCTTTAATCCATCTGCCGCCCCTTTTGTTCACTTATGCATAACAGTGTGTGTGTGTGTTTTGTGAGAGCAGTTGCCTTTTATAAAATCACATTTAAACTGAGTTTGATCTGTGGACTAAAGGTCACTGACCAAAGGCTGATCTTTCTATTAAATCCCACTGATTGAACCAAATGTTTCTACTGGAGATTTTCATGACAAGATAGAAATCTGCCCAGGTCTGGTTGCTGCTCCTTAAAGGTACAGTAACACCTTACGCATGGCTAGGTTTAACTGCGTCCTGTGTGGAAAACACCTGCTGTAAATGTGGTTCATGTTGTATTCAAATGCACAGGACATATCACTTCACAGGTACAAACCTACAGTCCGCGGGTGGTTTTTGTGACCAGTTTTGTGACTGAACAGATGTATCGGCCATAAGTGTGATTCTCTGTTCCCGGCCGACCCATGATTTCTAACAGTTTCAGGCAGAAACTGTGAAATGAGCAGTTTTAATTATTGTGAGGATGGTCTTCATATTTAACATCTGGACTGTAAAGAATTATCCACATGATTTGCCCAGTATTTGCAGGCTTTAATAATAATAAAAAAAAAAAAACAAGAAAAAGAAATCGCCAACGTGTTCTGAGGAGAGGAAATATATATTTCTTTATAGGTCTTGACTCTGAATGTCAGCTCTGACTCATCTGTTAGAGCAGAGGACTTCAATGTGTTTTCAGGACAGGGACCTCAAACTGATGGAGAGACTGAACAAGGACCCAGAATATTCTACTGAGGCCTGTTGTATATAGACCTGGGCCTGTCCAAAGAAAGGTGAAAAGTCCAAACACCTATTTGCTTTTCTCTAACCCACTAAAATGTGGGACAGTTGTCTATTTCTACAGTGAACTTTCAACAGATCAGTGCATTCCAACATGGGAGGCGGGGTCTTCCCAGGAGCTGGAGTAATTGCTGGAGAACAAATGACTCTCAATCTGAATAGTTCCTTCATTTTTTCTCACAGTGGCGTGTTTCTCTGATTTATGGTTTTATTCACTTTGTTCAAAAAGAAAATAGCAGTTTCGAGTGGACACTGAGGGGAGGGGGTTGAGAGGGGGCTGGCTCGACAACAGTCCTATTTTACAACAATGGGGGCTCTCTGCAGAAAGAGTATGGGGGACCAGCTACAAATGGCGGAGAAAACAATGATCTTGAGACCGGTGTGTGACAAGAAGAATTGTTCTATTTTTTTTACATCAGGATAACAATAACAGACTGAACACAAACACACACTCTGGCCTAATAACAGGGGGTGAAGTGCAGCTTATGGATTTTCGTCACAGTGACTTGGCAACAGAAAGAGAGTGAAGGGAGTCTCCCTCCACCTCCACCTCCACGCCTGCTCCTCCTCCTCCTCGTATGAGCCCTTCATCTTATGCCTGTTAGTGATCAGCCCATCAACCAGCCAATTACTCAGACACCTATTCCAGCCCACACACACACACACACACACACACTCACCCACACACACTCACACAGGCAGGGCAGCGTGGCAACATGAAAAGGCGTCTTATTATTTAAAAAGGCCAAGAGAGACGAGGAGAACACGGGCTGAGCTAGAGAGATTTAAATGTCAGGAATAAGTGACAACACCGTTGAACCTCCTGTTGCTCTTCTTCTTCTTCTCTCATTTCAGGAAATGCAGTTTAACTCACAGTACACAGGAACACGAAGCTCTCTCCCAGAATAAAGTGTATACGTACCGCGTGTCAAATATAATGTAGCTGTACTACAGTACTCCTCCACACCGGAGTCCATAAGCCTAAGAATGCTTTCTTGCTAACAGCAAAACAACATGTCGGCACTGTCCTCTTTAACTGAGGACAAAGATGTGATTTTCAACCTCGGGTCTCTGTAGTGAGTGTGGCATGAATACTGAATACTGCTGTGTTGGCACTGCTCATTGTTCGCAGGTTGAACTATGACAAAGTGTCAACACTGCACGACTGTCATCGTTCAAACAGTTGAAACAGTGACTGCAGCTTTTACAGAATGTTATTTGGGGGGTAAGAATATAAAAGAATTTTAAGGATGCAGGTGGTTGGACAAGCTGAGGAGGGAATTAAACTACCAACCGCTGACTGAAAGGATCGCCACTGAAGGAACAACACAAGCTCTTACAGGAGTTTGAGTGTGTGTGTGAGAGACGGAGACAGTGTTATCGATGTAATACCTTAAGTCCTCCACATTCGGCCGCTGACCCCTGGTCCACGCCAGTAATGTAAATACCAAGAGCGTACTCTGCTCCGCCCCGGATCATCAACCCCAGTGAACGTCCATCATCCAGAACCAGGTTGACCTGTTGTTTAAGACACAGAAACACAGACGAGTGATGCAGAAGAGTTTGCATTTTGCCGTCGCCACTCCGTCTCCTGACAGGCTGCTGCAGGCATTCAGGCAGACACACAGACACAGACACTGAGTGGTGGAGAGAGGATGACAGCTTCAGCCCTGAGTCGGGACTCTGTGAAGAGGAAAGTAAAAAGGAGCTGCTCCTGTCAGTGTGTCGTGACTCAGAACAGGCACCAATGTCAAATCCACTCCGACTCGGAGAGGAACTGTTCTGAGTCGTGAAGGCACCACGTTCTTTTGGTTCTACGGTCTCATTAACTTTGTCTTAACCTTAATGGTAGAGTTTTCTAGCCTTAAGGGAAAAACAACAGGAAGAGCGACAACATCCTTTAGTAGATGAGAGATGAGGGTGACTGTTACCGTACCATGTTACCTCTACATCAGTACCATCAGTACGGTGGGCTGTGATTTGAACTATAACATTTGGTAGATTCAACCACAGGAACATCAGTTAAAACTGAAAAAATAGGGATGTCCGATATTAACTTTTTGCCAATATCCAATAAGCCGTTATTGGCCAAACACTAAATTTCAGTTTTCCGATATCAAATGTTACCAATTTAGCGGGTCAGTGGTGGAAGTTAAGTGTTGCCTGCTCACTAAGGTGATGGGTTAAAACTGTGTTTCTCAATTATTATTTCCCTGTGGGGGAGAGAACTGAAATACTATTGAGCACCTTGTAGTATTTATTTATGTATCTGTAAAAACCAAACAATCTCCAGATTATCAATATAGATTAATAAAATAAGCTACAATGCTGCCATCTAGTGACTAGAGGCTTGTTTATCAATCATAATGTTCTGTGTTCATGTGTTATGAAGGAGTTAACAATTATATGTAAGCAAGTGGAATTGAGAAGGCCGGTAAGAGCGCATGTGTGCATGAGGAAGAGAGAGTGTGGAAACCCAGCTATTGTGTTATCGGGTTTTCATTACAATTTTTAGAGATATATCAAAATATGCTAATATCGGTCGGCCGATATTATCGATATCCTAAAAAAAAAAAAAAAGACATATTTAAGATTGTGCTGTTTGTCTAGATTCTGTTGGATCCTAGAAAATCAACACACCCTTTTAAAAACTCTCAGACTGGCATGGAAAAAATATTAGTTTGATGTTCTGTGACGATGAGCTAAATCTCTCTCTCTCTTTTTTATAGAGGACATATTATGTCATAAGGACTCACAGATCTGTGTCTCTGGTTCAGTTCACCTCCTAAAAAACATCATGCAGTAAAAACACCAAATAAATAACAATAAATCAACTTCAAATAAATAAAAATATATACAATTTAAATAAAGAAAAAGAAAACTTGAATTGAATTAAATGTATTACACAAATTAAAATTACACAACCTCAGATAAATAAAATCAATAAATACAATTAAAATTTAAATAAATGAAAATGTCGACACTCGAAACTGGTTTCAAATCTATGTGGAAGTTGAAATAAAGTGAATTCCTAACCACTTTTGAAGAAGAGGTGGGGCCTCATTAGCATTTAAGGGCAAAAGCACAGAAACCACCGGTTCAGAAAAGAACTGTTAAATAGCTGTGATCAACTCCTAAGATTTTTCAATGCTTTTGTCTGACATTTCATTCGGACATGAAAGAACCAGATGATTTGGTATGAAAGTAGCATCACGTGACCTCCAGCAGCCAATCATTGAAATACTTTTGAATAATCATCTAATGCTGCTTAAAAAACCAGAATCACATAGAACCATACACTGTTTCCTGCCGACTTAACTCACAAACGGATTCAGCTTCAAGATACAGCTTCAAGATTCAGCTTCAAGATACAGCTTCATGATACAGCATCATGATACAACACTAAGATACAGCTTCAAGATACAGCTTCATGATACAGCTTCAAGGTTCAGCTTCAACATACAGCATCAAGATTCAGCTTCAAGCCACAGCATCAAGATTCAGCTTCAAGCCACAGCTTCATGATACAGTATCATCATGAAGCTGAATCACGAAGCTTCAACATACAGCTTTGTGATACAGCTCTGTGCCGAGGAGTTTTTCTTCCAGCTGTCACCTGACTCTCTCTCCACAGGATTTACAACCTGTATCTGCTCAACGGACTGAAGGCCAGAGAACAAAATCCGTGTACGCAATGTTGGTCTCATCCTTCTTATATTCCTGCAGCTGTTCCTGGTGCTGGCACCTGGCACAGGGACTCTTTTCGTTTCACTCCGTGCAGATGGCGCTGCAGTGCTTTAATAACTCTCTCTGCTGATTTGGACCAGAGCCAGCAGCTTTTCTTTGCTCAGCGGGGGGGGGGGGGGGGGGGACGCATGGCCGCCCGTGTTCTCTTCTGACATTTATACAGGACTCGGAGAAGAGCTTTTAATTACAGCACTCATCCCTCTTTTATTGGCAGCTCTTATAAGGCTCACGTTGTTCCCTGGCATCGGTTCTAATCATGAAATCAATTCAGTGAGAAGGATGAGAGTCACGGTCTTTACTGTAGGAACTTCTACTTCACTCTGAGGCAGGAACCGCAGGAAATGAGCCTGATTAGACTACATTTAGCGACCACGTGGAACTGGCAGCGACTAAATCAGGACATGGTGTCGTTACTAATTAAACCCTGTTAATTACTGTACAACAAAACCGCAGGTTTAACCTCAGTTCATCCGATGAAATACTCTTTGTATCAACGCAGACGCTGTGGGGATCGAAAATCCTAAAAATGTTCTATTTAGAACCTGATGAAAATACAGCCCTGACAAACTGTTTAAATGTACAAAATGGAAAAGCGGCAAAGCATTGACAATATTTTAATCCTAGTTCCTAGTTGACAACAGGATGGTTGTTGAACAGCTTAAGATGGTCATTATACATTTGCCAAATGACAGCAATTAAAAAGAGTTAGCAAGAAAATGCTATTTTGTTTTGTTCGATTTCAAATACAAATACTGAGATTTTACTGGTACGACTTACATAAACTGATTCATTCTGTTCTCATTAGTTCAGACCCAGACCTCGTCTTTGTCAGCACAACGTAACGGTCATGTGACATTCAGTCATACAGTTACTGTGCAGAACAAAACTGCATGTCAGAAACTTCTGACGGTCTTGATCTTTCAAAAACTTTGTTCTGCATGGTAAATATTTCAACAGTATCAACGCCCTCCCGCCCCCTCAACTGCTCTCTCACCTTCTTCTCGTCTCCCTCCTGGAGCAGCTGCATGTTGCTGCGTCTCTGACTCTCCGTTCTCTTCACAGTGGCACTGCAATGCTCGGGCAGGTCAGGAGGAGGCGACACGCTGCGACCCTGAGGGTCAACCCAGGTGTAAACATGGTTGGTGACGTAGCCCCCGGGAATTCTGCCGACGGAGCGAACAGAGAGCAGGAGCTTTTTACTGCCCTTCAGCACCTGTGGAGACGGAGGGAGAAAATAACTTCAGCCACGTTTGGAGTTCTTAGAACTGTGTTCGTCATCAAGGTGATGAGACGGAGGGCTGACAGAAACAACCAATCAGTCTTTTTTATTGTACCTTCTGTACCATCTGGGCTGCTGGGACCTGGCACATGCCTCTGCTGTGGGGGCAAATAAAACCTTAATTATCTGTATCTTCATCTTCCCGGCAGTATCTAATATGCAGGACTAAGTCCTCACTTGGCACAGTTTCTGCAGGAGACTCCAACCAGCCCAGAATCACTGCAGTGATTTATTGACCAAACGGTGGGCATGGTGCTGCCCTGCACACACGCATTTTCAACTGCTTCAACTGAAGTAAAACGGAGGACGCGTCTGTGTTCGGATGCAAATTAGGAGTGGGCGTCAGAACAAGGCGAGAGGAAAAGGATGTGGAGAGGTGGAGGCGTTGGTGGAGGCAGGAGGGCAGCATCAGGTTTAAGAAGCAGCCAGGTCCTGGGAATGAGAACCTGCAACAGCAGCAGCAGCAGCAGCAGCAGCGATCTTAACTCATAGTCACTGCAGGAATTGTGCTGATTGTGACGTCCGGCTGATGGAGCTTGGCTCTGTGTTTGTATTCAGTGATGTCAAAGTAATGGAATCTGAGACAGAAGATAATGAGAAATGTCAATGACAGGTAAATTGCCTGCTGTTGCTGCTGCTGTTGCTGCTGCTGCTGAGAAAACAGAAGGCTTGTGACTCCATCACAGTAAAGAGCAGGAGCTGCAGGAGTTTAAAAGGTATTAAAAAAAAAAAAGAGCTGATATGGGGCTTCAGGGAATAAAGTATTCAGTCTGTTTATGTAGAGTCTGTATTAAATGGCCCAGATGGTACAGGAAAGTACTTCAATAAGATTACATGTCTCAGTAAAACTACTTTAAATAGAGGACACCATCAGTCAACACACATTTACCGCAGTGACTAAACAAACTACGGTCCGTAGAGGGAATTAGTGAATTTACATCAGAGCACCACAGGGGGTCTCCATCCACTGCAGCTTCTGTCATTAGGTTTTAATGTGTCATTTTGTCACTGTTTGAATTGCTTTGCATAGATTTACAACTGACTTAATAAACAGAGAGCGAATCAGTTCAGGTCTCACCAGGAGCTAAAAGTTTTCTTACAGAGTTGGGTTTCAGAGAAAAGTAACATCAACGGTTTTGAACAACCGACACTTCTTCTGCAGGAAAATATACTTCAAATACTGTAAAATACAACATCGAGACGAACGATAAAGAAAAAAATATAGTATTGCCAAATATTCAAGGACCACAGATGTATTAAGCTTCAGGCTGTGGCTTAAACAAATCCATGTCCAACACAGACCCTGCCCCCCCACCTCCACCCCTTCCCTAATGAGATCTGATCCTGATTAGACAGGTGGTCCTGGACGGTCTCTAAGTCCATGCTGCTGTTGTGACCAAACAAATAGAGGGGAAGAACAATGGTTTTATGGATTATTTCATTTGAAAAAAAACCAAGTTGTAATTTGGGGTTTTTTCTATCACGTGATTTATAAAGCTCATCCTCAGCAAAAACACCAAAAAAAAAGGGACCACTAATCTTTTAACTGGCTCAAATAAACCAAACAAAGGAGGTGATGTTGAGAGGACTGCTGTGAAGATCAAATGAAAGAAAAATTCTACTGCCAATGAAAAAGTAAACAGCTGTGACAGTGAAGGAACCACTGTAAAGTACCAGACTTTAGTGTGTTCTGTTCGGTCCCCAACAACAATGGAATTCAAGGCAGTAAATGCAGCAAGGCTTCTGTGTGTTGTCCAACCACAGTCGTCCAACCACAGTCGTCCTATGCGCCTGTTGTGTCAGTTTCTGTTAAGCTCTAGTTACAGTTCAATTTTTATTTTGTTTGAATACAGTTCCTCTTCACTGTTCACAGACCTACAGCACAGCATTTCACGGTGAATGAATGGCAACAGAAAAAAAAAGCTCATGTTTATAGGAGTGTTTCTTCAGCA